TGGGAGCGGCCACTGCACTCCAGTCAGGGTGACAGAGTGAGACTCCAACTCAAAAAAAAAAAAAAGAAAAGAAACACCTTATTATCCTGGTTACCCCCATCCCCAGGGGGCCCCTGAAGATTGAATATCCAAGGACGAAGATGATGACGACTATAATTATAACTAGCGATTGATGAGCACCTATTATTATGTTCCAGGGCACTGTGCTAAGCACTTTATATGCAGTATCTCATTTGATCAGTACATCTCAAGGAGAGGAGGAAACAGAACTTTGGGGAAGTTAGGGACTTGCTCAGGGTCACAGAGCTGAGAAGTAGAGGGGTCAGGACTTGAACTAACCCAGGGGCTATCTTCCTACCCAATAAACATGTGGGTCCAGGACACAAAGATTCTTAGGGGGTGGGTCAAGGGGCAGCAGAGGCAGGATGGAGCAAGGGGTCACCCACCTCAGGCAGCATGTATTTGCGTAGCAGGTTGACAATGATGGCAGTGGGTGCCTCTGGCTCCTCAGGGTCACTACAAAGCCCCGTGCCTGCCAGCCGGAAGTCAAGGTTGAGATGCTCCAAGCCATGAAGCACAAAGAGCAGGTGGGACCCAGCTGCAGCCATCAAGGGTAGAACCTCCTTCAGGGGTGTATAGCGCTGGGTTACAAGTTGGCACAAGGAGGCCGGGGTAGAGCCTAGGGATGACAAGTCTTCACAAGAGAAGGGAATGAGCAGCTCAAAGTCCGGCAGCCGCCCATAACACCAATCCAGGACCATCTTGCGCACCAATGTGCTCTTGCCCGTGCCCACTGTCCCATACAGTACCACTGTCTGCACCCGGCGCCCACAGGCATCTGGGTCAAAGAGCTGAGACAGGGCCAGTGCAGGGAGCCCAGTTGGGGGCGGCTGATGCTCCAGAGCCAGCTCTGAGGGTGGGCGAAGCAGCTCATCTGGGGTGCTCTCGCGGATCACAGGGTCAACGTGGACTGTGTCTAGTGCAAAGGTCGGGCCAAACTGGCGCTCCTCCCTGGGCAGCCGGCTGAACCATTCAGCCAGGTTCCGGCGGTGCTGCTGGATAGCTTCTGAAAGACAAGAGAAATGAGTCAGGGAACGGAGCCTAGAGATGTAGGAAATTAGGGCCAGCCAGGGTAGTGGAAGGCTCAGGCTGCGGAATCAAGACAGCACCTAGGGATAGATGCTGGAGCCCAGAATGGTGCTGGGCACACAGGACTCCTTCAGAAAATACAGATTGCCCAGAAAGTTTGGAACCCCTCTGGCAAAAATGGGGAGTAACAGAAAAGCAATGCCGAGCCTAGGCTAACTGATTTCACTGTTATCTGTGTGCAGTCTTAACCTGACTGCTAGACCTGACATTTGTTGAAGAGAGGGATGGTATGTCTCTCCCAGTGCTCTGGGCACAGTAAGTGTGCATTACATGAGTGCTGCAGGAAGGGATATATAGCTGAATGGAAGGGAAAGAGGGAGAGAGGGACCCCCGATGGATTATGGCAGTGGATCCTCTATGCCTCCCTCTCCTCTCCCTATCCCTGCCCCCACCAGGATCCCAGCAGTTCCTTTACCAGTTGCAGAGACGCTCTGGAACAGCTGTCCATGCCTCCCCGGTGGGGGAGCACTGCCTGCTGAGTTTCCATGGAGGCGTATAAAGACCCTGGGAGTAAGGAGAGGGGATTAACTGGGCCTGGATCCTGGGTCAGCTCCTGCACAAGCTCTGAGTCCAGGTCCGTCTGGACTGCTGGACTTTTGGTTTCCTGAGATTCAGGCCTGATACTGGACACCCAAGTCTAGAGTCTTGTCTGACACCCTTCCCAAGGACTGAGGCCACACCTCTAGCCCTCCAGCCCCCCCTGCTGACTGCCTGCCTGGAACTCAGGCTGACCATGCCAGACTCCACCCACTTCCCACAGGTCCTCCCTCCACTGACCACTATGACTTCTACTGTGGATTATCTATGCCAACTTCCTCTCAGGCCTGGGAGCTGCTTCTGTTCCTCCCACCCTCAGAGGACCAAGCCCCTCTCCTAGAGGATCAAGCTAGCTCCAAGTCCTGACCCTTCTCAATCCACCCTGCTGTGCCCAGATGAGTTACACCCAGGCCTCACCTACGGGGCCCAAGGTACTCCCCTTTAAAGGGCCAGCTCCAGTGGATCAGGAAGGGGATCCGTTCGTCTACAGAGAGAAGGAACAAATAGTATCCACAAGTCCCAACCACATTGTCCCGCCAATACATGGGCCCCACATCTACGTTAAGTCCCCCAGGACTTCCTCTCATCACAGCACTCACTGCCCCTCTGTAGCAGTTATTTTGCAACTGCATTTCTATTCCATTGTGTGTGTATTCGATTAATATTCATTCCTTCCCCTTCCATGACAGCAGGAATCACATCTGTTTTTGTTCATAATCATATACCTAGAACTCAACACAGGATCTGCCATATGGCAGGCACTCTGGAAATACCTGTGGAGTGCAAAATTAAATCGGACAAGTGTTCCTTGGACTTCTGCGGCTACAAGAGACCCTTGAAGGTCATCTAGTCCAACTCCTTTATTTTAGAATGGGAAAAAAGGAAGCTCAGGGAGGTGAGGTGATATGCCCGAGGACAATACCTAGAGGACCATAGAGCTGGGACTAACGCATCCTGGGTCTAGATCCCTGCTCTCCTGGAGACACCATGTAGTCCCAGAAGAGTGAGGGAAAAGCAGAAACCCCTGCTTCCTACTCACCCAGTGGCTGCCATGTGTTTCTCAAACCAGAGCCCCAAGAGGCCCTGGGTAGATGGCAGCCCCACCTCATCCTAGGACAGAAGGTCAGAACCTGGGGGATGTAACAGCACCTTCTATCCTGCTCCCCTGAAAAAAGAATGGTGTGAATGGACCACCATCACCACCCCTTTCCCCTCCCATGATTCCCCCACATCCCTACCCCATGCCAGCCAAGGAGGGGCCTTCTTCCCAGGAGAGGATCAGACCTTTCTCAAATGCTGCTTAAAGGCTTGGCCTGGCTTTCAGCTTTTCTCCTTCTCACAGACCCCAATCCAAGGGATTCCATTTTATCTCCTTTCGCCTCTCCCCTGAGGCTTTACAAACACTTTTTCCTGAGTTACAACCTCATAAACTGCTTCATTTAGGTGTCCTTTCATTGTCTGGCTGCCAGCAAGCTCAGCTAGGAGTCCTGTGTTCATGTTCAGAGACTTTCTGAGTCTAGATTTTCCAGTAATAATTATCCACTCCCCTGTCTCTGTTCCCCAGCTCTCAGGTCTCTTTAGCTGAGTTTTAATGGTTTTATCATTTTATCTTCTCTGTGACTTTTATGTAAGCTGCCTTTGAGGCTGGCATAAATAATACATAAATGAATGAACTTCCACTTGGCATCTGCATATGGATATCGTGCCACTGCTTCAAACTTCACCCATGTGAAACTGAATTCATCACTTCCTCCACCTTGTAGTTACTTTGCTGCAAATCTTCTCACCCATATGCCTTATACTAGAAACTGATCTCTCTGTCTTCAGATCCTTCTTCTCCTGCTCTTTTGGCAGTAGACAGTCCTAGTCCTACCAATTCCTCCCCACTGCTCGGCCTGTCTACCCCCTACTGCCTAGTGCTAACTTAAACTAAATGAGGACTTACAGGACCCCATCTCCTCACCGGCCTCTCTGCCTTCAGTTTCATCTCATTCGGGTCCCTCAGCCCAGGCACCAATCACCTTCCTAAAGTCCGAGGTTACTTATGGAGTCCGAACACCTGGCCCACACAGGCGACTTAGCTGTTTTCCCCAGTCTGCATCTTATTCCCCAAGCTCACTGGATTCCATTTCTCCACTGTCTAAATGTGTTCATACACTTTCCTCAGTTTGGAATGACCTTTCTTGCCTGTTTGAATCCCACTCAATGTTTTAAGATCCTGCTCAAATGTCTGTAGTCTCAGCCATTCAGGAGGCTGAAGTGGGAGGATCGCTTGAGCCCAGGAGTTCAAGGCTGTAGTGAGCTATGACTGTACCACTGCATTCCAGCCTGGGTGACAGAGTAAGAACCCATCTCTAAAAAAGCAAAATAAAAAATAAGAACCTGCTAAAAAATAAAATAAAAAGATCTTGCCCAAAGATCTTCTCCCTTTGGAAGTCTTTCCTGAGCTCTCTAAGCCTCTTTAAATAAAGCATGCTCCTGGCCAGGCGAGGTGGCTCATGACTGTAATCCCCAAAATTTGAGAGGCGGAGGTAGAGGAATTGCTTGAGCCAAGATGTTCCAGACCAGCCTGGGCAACATAGCAAGACCTCAACTCTACAAAAATAAAAAATAAAAAAATTAGCCGGGCATGGTGGCATGAGTCTGTAGTCCCAGCTACTCAGGAGGCTGAGGTGGAAGGATTGCCTGAGCTCAGGAAGTTGAGGCTACAGTGAGCAGTGATCTGTGCCACTGCACTCTAGCCTGGGCAACAGAGTGAAACGCTGACACAAAAATAAATAAATAAACAAAGTAATTAATTAATTAAAGCGCGCTCCTATTTGGTGCCTAGTCTCCTCCACTGAGATCCAGGTTTCTCAGGGGTAGGGCACACTTAGAGAGAATTGGCTTTATTGGGCCACCTGCCTTAGCAGGGCCAACCAGCAGCAGGGCTGGCCTGGGGCTCAGCCGCTTAGAGCACCAGTTTCCGGGGCTGGGGAAGGGTTAAGTGGGTTCCGGAAACCTGAGAAGTCTGGAGGAAACTGGCTCAGGATTAACATCAGATCCAGGGCCCCTGAGTCAAGATGAGACTTGCGGGGTGAGGGCAATACTCCAGTGACCACCCAGGTCTTCAGAGCAGCTAGAAAAGGAGAGGGCACTGCAGGAAAAGTACAGGGGCGGTATTCTCACAGACCTGGAGCTCCTCCCCCAAACTGGGTCCCAGACAGCTCTCCCAGTTTCAACTGGCCTGGGGGACTAAGGGGAGAACCTGCCAGAAAGCCCACCATCCAGCGCCCTGCTCCGTCCTACTCCTCCAGGCCTCGAACTCCCCACAGCACTCTCCCAGCACCCTCGCCCCCCGCCGAGCGCAGCTGCCCAGCCGAGCTGGC